ATATTATATATACTCCACATATATATATATATATATATATATATATATATATGTTTATATAAGTGCATTCTTCTCTATATTCAGACCGTTTCTATCCACTTAACTGATCTTCAAACAGGCGCTCGGCTGAGGAGAAGTTCGTAGACGGTCCGTCAGATGACGGGACTACCAAAAGTGTTATTGAGGTTCCTTCGCATCTCCCCAACGAATCAAGTGTAGACCCAATGGTGATTGAGTCAGAGGGCAAGAAGGAGATGCCCGCACTTGGTATGCTATCATATATACATATATATGTGTATATATATGTATATATATATATATGCATATATATATATATATATATATATATATTTATTTATTCTATTTATTTATTCATTTATTTATTTATTTATTTATTTATTTATTTATACTCAATTTATGTTGTCATGATTATATCTAAGCATGGTAATATATATATATTTATATATATATATATATATTATCTTCCATTAAATGCTATTAAATGCTGTGGATAAAATTTGTTCTGCAATATTTGGTATGGTAAATTGGTATTCTACATATAGCATACTTAAATGTTGTTTTATATTTAACACAGTCAATCTTAATACTACATTTAGCATACCAAATTGTTCTTCTGTATGTAGCATAGCCCATTTCTATAATCAATATACTAATTTCTATTCTATATTTAGCTTGTTCTAAGTTTAGCTTATTCTATATATAGCTTTTTTTACATTAGCTTGTTTTATATTTAGCTTGTTCTATATTTAGCTTGCTCTATATATAGCATGTATTATATTTTGCTTGTTCAATTCTATCTTATTTTAAATTGAGCTTGCTCTGCATTTAGCTTGTTCTATACTTAGCATGTTCTATATTTAGCTATGTTTATATTCAATTTGTTTTATATTTAGCTTGTTCTATATTTAGCCTGCTCAATGTTGGTCTCTATTGTGCACACCACCATACAGAAACAAGACAACCCACCGAAGCGATATCCGTTGGTTCATTAGAACAAAAGTCAGAGTCTGATAATATGCCGATGACGTGTTGACTGAAAGAACTGGTAGATAAGGATAGGTATAGTATACATAGCCCAATGCAGGCAGACATCAATAAACACCAAAACTTAGGAGAGAGATATGTGTACATATACATATTTATCATTTTTATATTTATATATATATAAATATAATATTATATATAAATATATATATATTTTATATATTTATTATATATATACATATATATATATATATATGTGTGTGTGTGTGTATGTATGTATATATGTATATATATATATATATATATATGTGTGTGTATAAATATATATATGCATGTATGCATGTCTGTATGTATATATATTATATATATATATATATGTATATGTATATGTATATGTATATATAT